CCTTGCCCCCCGCCTTTTCAACAAAGATGAACTCTGCGGAATCCGACTTGCGTTCGCCACCGGCTCTTCTCGTGACGTGCCAGGATTGAAGATAACCATGCTCGCCCAGGCACAGACCGATCGGCGGCCGAAGGTTGCTCGCTTCTATTTAGAGGCTGTGCGCGCTACTGTCCCTGACTTTTGCTGACATTTGTACTTGCTAGTGTAGTGTACTGCCAACCTTGGTGCCCCGATACAATGTTTCAGTCTCACTTGTGTCCTGCGAGTGTCACGCCGGTCTCTGGTGACAGGCCGCCAGCTTCAGCAACCATAGTGCTATGGCCTCATCATCGTGTTGCTCGTGTTCGCTGTTCTAGCAAGCCATTGAAGCTTTCGCTCGAGCAACGCACGCCGACCTGGCCAGTAGGTCTAGTTGAGGTTACATTCGGTGTTCATTCAATCGCTGTTTTTTTGCCCAGTGACGTCGTTGTATGGCGCTCTCCACATTGGTCGGATTCCGTTTCACCGCAGTTATAGTATTCACATATATGTACGTATATATATATACATATATATATATATATTATATATATATATATATATATTATATATATCATATATATATATTCATATATATGTATATATGTGTGTATGTATGTATATGCCCATACACGAATACAACTATGCACACATACATATATGTATGATCAGCCAAGCGTGAATGCCTCCAGTCACTACGCCGCTGTCTGTGTTCCATAGCCTTTGGCTTCAGTTTTTCTGGGTGTATGCTCGACCCAGACCTCCAGGCCCTGTACGCTGCCGCGATAGCAGGGCTGCCGGGCTGGGCTGCCCTCGTCTTGCAGGCCGTGCGAGGGCCTGAGGAGTCCGCCTCTCCTGAGGGCGGAGGAGGCTACCCAGGGCACGAGGAGGAGTGCCCAGAGGTGGTCTGCGAGTGCCCAGAGGTGGTCTGCCCCAGACCCGAGTGCCCCGAGACTGACTGTCCGATCGTGGAGTGCCCGTCGGTTCCCGACATCAGGGAGGTGTACCCCTTGCTGGAGGACGGCATTTTCGCCATCCTCTTCCTGCCGCTGCTGGTCGCCACAGTCGCAGGAGTGCTGCTCGGGTGCTGGTGTGCCCGGAGGACGCGTGGCCAGAGAGGTGCGAACGGCCAGCACGCCAGCTCGTCCGAATCGGACGAGAGGCGGCGGCGGCTCGCCGCTGAGCTGGTAGCAGCCGTGCGCGCCCGTCGTGGGACTGGCCGCCACAAGCAGCAGTAGATATGGCAGCCAGGGGAGACTATATCCTTATTAAGTACAATGGGGTAGACGAGGACTTGTATCACGAGACGCTGATCACAGGGGTCAGTCCAGAGGATCCTACTGAGGTTACCCTGTACACCGCCGACCAGGATCACTATCAGTTCAACATAGCGCCTGGGGATGACGTCGAGGCGGTGTACTGGATCGGGCTGCCAGGCGGTCGCCCCGCCCATGTGCCAGAGAATCAGATCTACCGTTTCCGACACAACGTGCCGCCCAATGAGCGCCAGAGGCTCTTCGCGGAGGCGCAGGGCATGCTGGGAGCAGCACCAGCGCCTCCACCCGCCCCGCTGGCGGCCCCGATGCGGAACGTGCAGAGGCAGGGCCTTGGCCGGCCTGCCGGGGCGGCCGCCAGGCGCGCTGAGCCAGGCCGCGTATGGGTCTTCGCCGAGGACCATGGCCGCCACCAGAAGGGCGATGGCATGGAGGAGCTCCCCGCGGGATCAGCGGTCCTGGGCGAGAGGGCGGTCGTCCCCATGGCGGACGGCAGCACGGCGTTCTTGCAGATGATCCCCCAGGACGGCATCGATGAGTTCAAGATGGACGACCTCAGGGTGATGCCTGTGAAGTTCGATGGCATGGGGAGGCGCAGGAGGCTCTTCCAGGATGGCGTCGCCAGCTTCGTGCCCGACGAGCCCGAGGGGGGCTTGGGGCTTGAGGGGCCTGGCACAGTGTCCTGGAGGTGCCAAACCTATGTCGAGAGGTCCCAGACGCCAGTGTCTCAGCATGCGTCGTGGAGGGCGACGTCTGGTGTGTCGAGCGGGGACCGCAGCGTCTTCGAGCATGAGGTGCTCTCCGAGGTGCTCGAGAGTATGGTGTGCACAGACCAGCTGCACGCCCCCGCGCTGCGCAGTGCGGAGCTCGCGTGCAGGAGGCTCCAGCTGATCGAGAGCGCCCACTCCCTGAGCCCGTCGGCTCCCGACTACTCGGCCGCCGACCAGCACGTGGGGTGGGGCCGCCGCCGACAGGGCATGATGGTGGCCCCGCTGCTCCAGCAGCACGTGGCGACAGCCCTCCGCGATGAGCACCAGGTGGCCAAGGAGCAGAGGAAGGCTCGTGAGGAGCGCCGCCTGGGCCGCCAGAATCACAAGAACAACAAGGACAAGACCTCAGAGGGACAGGGGTGATGCGGCCCCCTCCGAGGGGCGACGGACCTAGCCCCTCGGCAGTGACTCACCCAGGAGGTCCACAATTTTTTGATAGAGCTCGGCCACGAGATCTCTTTCCGCTCCCTCACGTCGCTGAGCAGTCGGCTACTGAGGGTCGTCCCTCACGCTCGGTGCGAAGACGCCTGGCGAGGAGGAGGTTTTTGGACAGGGCTACCAACTCTGTCATCAGTTCCTTGAATGAGATGCAGGGCTGCGCCGGGGTGCACGACGGAACCCCCGCGATGGGCCAGATGCTGTCTCAGGATGCGATACGCTGTGACGTCGCGTCCACTCCGCCATCCCCGACCTTGTACACCAGACACGGGGCCGTCCGCGAGCTCTTGTCAGGCATCGTTGACTATGCAGGCAGCGATTGCAGCACCACGGTTCGTCCCTATCGGCGGGATCAGGTTTCTCTTCCAGATCCCGGGAGGCCCTCGGCGGATCTACTGTCTACCCTCCCGGAGCCTGACCAGGATTTGCTGAAGTCATGGGATACTCATATGCTTGCTGACCCTGCTGATATGGGGTTCTATCGAGAGTCGGGACATCAGTTTAGGTTGTACTTCGACGAGATTTTTAAAGCGCAGCGAGGAGTCTACGTTGAGTTTTTGAGAGACCTTAGCGACGCCAAGGTGATTGGTTGGACAGAGAAGCCTCTGAGCCTGGTGACCCCTTTCTTCGTAGTAAAGAAGCGCGACAGGTTACGACTCATCATGGATTGCCGAAACACGAACCTCCTCTTCCGAGCACCCCCTGCCCCTGAGATGGGCACGGCTGCAGCTTGGGGCAACCTGGAGCGTCCCGAGGCTCGTCCTGGAGCTGAGGCCGGCGGAGCTGACGACAGCGGAAGCGGCGGAAGCAAGCTCTGGGTAGCCCAGGCGGACGTGAAGGATTGTTTCCACTGCGTTCGCAATCTTCCAGAGCTGTGCCCGTATTTTTGCATGCCGCCGATCACGGAGGGAGAGAGAGCCGACGCTGGTATTGTTGGCCCTAGTGGCCTTGGGGATCTGGCACGTGAGGTATCGGTTTACCCTATGCTGCTGACTCTTCCAATGGGGTTCTCCTGGGCCTTCTATTTCGTCCAGCGCCTCGTGGAACACCAGTGCAGAGTTTCCTTGGCTGGGGCTGGCTTGGCTTTCAAGTTCCTGAGAGACCAGGCCCCTGCTCCGGATCTTGGGACCCAGTTGGCCGTTCTACCCTATTGCGACAACATCAATGTGGCAGGCATCAGGAGGGAGGAGGTGAAGGAGGCTAAGGATGTGATCGTTCGGAGGCTTCGTTTCGTGCAGTTCACTGTCCATGAGGAGACCGAGCCCGAGACCCTGTCGTACTCGCTGGGTCGCGTTATCGATGGGGAGTCCTGGGTGGTTCGTAATCGGTCTGAACGAGGGGAACGTCTTCGCAAGGTTTGCGAGGCTCTTGAGGGGGGTCAACCAGTGACGGGTAGGCAGATGAAGCAGTACCTTGGCCACGTGGTCGATTTCTTTCTGATTAGACGGGAGGTCCTCTCGGTGCTCAGAGCCTGCTACGATTTTGCGCAGGCGGCAGAGAAGAAGCCCCAGAGTTTGTGGGCTTCTGCACGGCGCGAAGTTCGCTGGATACGTTCTCTAACTTTCATTGGCCTCGCTCGGTTGGACAGGCCATGGCACGATACAGTTGTGTCGACTGATGCGTGCGAGTCTGGTGCAGGGATTGCTGCGCGCCAGGCTGACCCCTCAGAAGTGGCGTCCATAGGCCGAGTCCGTGAGAGATGGAGATATCGCTCTCGTCATCCCCTTCACTGTCGCCCTCGTCTGCATGCCCTGGGTGGGGACCCTCTTCACGATGTGGACACGGTCTTACCAGTAACCCGACAGGCCCTTGGGGAGGCTCCTGAGGACCTGGAGGTCAACCCAGGGTTCGACGAGATCCCAGAGGCCTTCATGGACCCCGACAAGTGGCACGAGGTGTTTGCTATGCGTTTCAGGGAGGAGGAGGCTATACCTATTCTGGAAGGTCGGGCGTCTCTGTTGGGGATACAGCATTATATGAGGTCGTCTCGGTCTTTTGGAAGGCGTCTTCTACTCGTGGGGGACCAGCTGGGGAACACTCTTGCTATTGGGCGCTCTCGGGCATCATCGTACGACCTGCTCATCATCATCAGGCGTATTGCTACCTACATGTTGGCTACTGGCTCGAGTCTATCTGCACGATGGACCCCCTCTGAGCTCAATGAGGTTGCCGACCGATCCTCCAGACGATGGGAGAGTGACGTCAGGGCTCCGAAGGGCCGCAGCGGTTCGGGCGCCCACCCGCCGCGCCAAGGGCAAGAAGACGGCTCTGGCGCGTCACGGGGAGGGCGTGACCTCACGACTCCAGCGGCACCACCGGGGTTCCATCCCAGCGAGGCCTGTGGGCTCGACGCCGCTGCGCCTCCAACGCCAGGGAGCTGTGGAGCGCATCTCGGGTCCCTCGAGAGACATCCGTCGAGAGAGGCGCCAGAGCATCTTCGGGGCCTTCGAGCGTCTTGCCCTGTCGGGCCAGCATTCCATTCTCGAACGTCACTCGATTACGGCACCCACGGAGGGCCTGTACACAGCCTGGTGGGAGGAGCTCCAGGATTTTGTGGCCATGAACGGCTACGCCTTGGACAGCGTGAGGAATGCCGACATTGCGCTGGTGGACTTCGCGGACTACTTGTTTCTCGAGGGGTTCGAGCGGCCCGACCTCATGAAGATGTACGCCGCTGCCGCCTGGCACCTGGCCGGCCTGTCCCCCATCGGGAAGCTGCGTTTTCCGCGGTTCTCCCGCGCCGCTCGGGGGCTGGGCCTGCTGGCTCCAGCGCAGACCGTGCCGCCCGTCCCGTTCGAGCTGGCGTGCTGGATCGCCTGGCACATATACCTCCGCCTCCAGGACTGGACCATCCCGCTCTGCCTGCTGACCATGTTCGCCTGCTACTTCAGGCCCGTGGACGTCCACAGCCTGATGGAGGAGGACCTGGTGCCGCCAGGAGGTTCGAGCACTCACTGGGTGCTCAACGTGCACCCTGCCCGCCGCGGAGAGACGTCAAAGGTGGGGGTGTCCGACGAGGCGCTGCTCCTCGACTCTCCGTACCTCCCAGGTCTGGGCCCCGCGCTGCATCGGCGACTTCGAGGCCAACGGCTGGCCAAGTTGTTCGAGGTCAGCGAAAGGGAGCTCAGCATGCAGTGGGGCCGCTCGCAGGAGCAGCTCGGGCTGCTCCCCACCCAGCGGTATCGCCTGTACCAGATCCGCCACGCGGGGCCGTCCCACGACATCCTCATGGGGGTCCGCACGCTCCTCGACGTCAAGCGCCGAGGGAGGTGGAGCTCGGACGCGACCGTCAAGCGGTACGAGGCGGCGGGGGTGGTGCAGCAGGAGTGGGCCAAGCTGTCGTCGGCACAACAGGCCGCCGCGTCTCGCGCGGCGGAGTGGATGCAGTCTCAGGTGGGTATGTTCTCCGCCCCCAGCCCGGGCGGGCGCGGCGCTGGAGGACACCGTGGCTCCTCCAGGAGCTGTACTGCGGCACGCGCGGGATCCTCGACAGCGCGGGCCGCCAGGGCATCGGCGGCGTCGGCTGGGACACGGAAATCAGTTCAAAGGCCGGCCTCTCGAGTGCGGCCGTCATCAGGAGCATCGCCCGCGACTTCCAAACGGGCAAGAACCGCTTCGGGCTGAGTGGGGTGTTCGCAGTTCTCTGGGTTGGTATCGTGTGCTCGACCTGGACTCGTGTTCGCGACCGCCCTCCTCTTCCCCGATTGCGTGATGATGACAAGTACTTGTTGGGGTATCCGCAGTATGGGCGTGATTGTGACAGGGAAGCTGTGCAGTTGGGAAATCTCATGGTAGAGCTGCTGGTGAAGTTGCTCTTTGAACTTTTACCTAAGAGAGTCGTTGTGGTCATACAGAACCCATTGACATCCAGGCTCTGGCTTCATCCTGGTATCCTTCATTTGAGAGCTGAGTTTTCTGACCACCAAGACGTGTTGCTGGATCAGTGTGCCTACGGCACTCCTTGGAAAAAGCCCACGAGGCTGCTGGTATGGCACTGCCCTGCGCTGAGAGCGCTAGGCAAACGTTGTACAGGCACCAGAGGAGTTTGCGCCTTTTCTCAGCAGCCTCATGCGTCTCTGACCGGCAAGGTTCACGGAGTTTGGCGCACCAAGAAAACCCAGCAGTATCCGCAGCGTTTTTGTGCAGCTTTTTGTCGGTGCTTGGCTGAGCACCTCAGTCACAGTCCGCCTTTTGCGTCCCCCACCCACCCATCCCTGTTTTCCGTGCCCTGCCAGAACACTACATGATAGCGGATTCGGGAGACATTGATTATTGAATAATCTTTCTCTGCGCGCTGATTTGTTTTGTTGAAGTGCTGCCGGCATTGATCTCGGCCAGCTGCGAGCCTCGCCCAACCGACAGCTGCCAATAGACAATGGTTCTAACTTCTGGCGGAGATACAAACAGGCATGATCAGCCAAGCGTGAATGCCTCCAGTCACTACGCCGCTGTCTGTGTTCCATAGCCTTTGGCTTCAGTTTTTCTGGGCCCACCGTCCACCCCAACGCCTCCTGGGAGACATTGATTATTGAATAATCTTTCTCTGCGCGCTGATTTGTTTTGTTGAAGTGCTGCCGGCATTGATCTCGGCCAGCTGCGAGCCTCGCCCAACCGACAGCTGCCAATAGACAATGTTTCTAACTTCTGGCGGAGATACAAACAGGCATATATATATATATACACCTGAATGTGCACATCACGATCCTGATCCGTATCCTCCAGCCCTCCTATCCTTCCACCTTGCTCGCCTCCTCCCTCCACGCCCTTGCTCTCCTGCTGTTCCACCCCGCTCTGTCTTCTCGTCCCTGTCCTCCCCCTCTCATGATCCTCCATCCTTCCTCGTCTTTCCTACTCGTCCCCTCCCCTTTCCCGGGCATGCTCCTTGATCGCCCCCCATCTCATCTCAGTCGCTTCTTCGTTAGGGGCCGCTTGCGAGCCCTACCTCTACCCCCCACGATTTCTGAGGGGGAGGGTGGGGTTCACTTCGTTCGGGAGCTCTCGAGCGAAGTGAACCCCACCCACCCCCTCAGAAGTCGTGGGGTGTAGGGGTAGGGTTCGCATGCGGCCCCCTATTCGTGCGCATGTGCTGTGCCGCAAATGTTTCTATAGTCCCCGTTGCGCCCGTCCGCAGGCGCGCAGCGGCCCACGAGACTCCGGGGGGTGGTCGGGGAAGGGACTTGAGGCAGGAGCGACCGCAGCACCCTTTCATGCCGTATCCCCGCGCCGTAGATGTCTTCGTTTTGTCAGCTCTCAGCACAAGCCTGCCATACAGTCAAACACCCTAATAAGGACGCGCGGCTTTGCTCAGGGTGCCCTTGCGTCCTTGCTCTGCCTTGCTCTTGCGTCCTCGGGGTTTTCGTCGTCCGCCGCCCCAGAAATCCCAACTTCGGCTTCCGAGGGTCTTGCGTCCTTACCGCGCGTGCTTATTGGGGTTTTTGACTGTAGCAGCGTTATTGCTGGTGTTGGTTTCCTGGGCTGCATGTTCACTGCCAGGGCGATCCAGGACGTCTCGGCAGCGCTCGACCCTTCTCGGTCCTCCTTGGTCAGGGGGAGCGCCTGCTCACTGGGCATTACTTGCCACCGTTCGCTGCCGTTGCCGCTGTGAGCGCACAGCGTCTTGGCGTTAGCTCGTGGCCACGCCATTTGCAATGCCTTGTTTGGGGTCGGGGCGAAGAGGGCCAGGCATGGGAGGCCGATGTGATAGCACGGTTCGCTCCGGCCCAAGTTTGGTGCGGTGCGGTATGAGAGATACTCGGGGGCGGAAAAGAGGGCGGTGATGACTAGGGGGGGTGGATTTCATGGCGCGGGCCATGATGTTTCCCCAGATCTCATGGCGCCTCTTCTTATCTCATTACGTCCCTGGCCCCCCCGCTGAGCCGCGCACATGCCGCCAGTCATGATTTGCACCCCGCCCTCTTGGACGCCCCCCTCTTGGCCGCTCCCGAGATACTGTGCCCACGGAGTTTTCTACATCAACATAAAACTACATCGTAAAACCTAGGATCGACGAGATAGTTACCACGATCGCACAACTACATCAAACATAAATCTGCGGAGGTCCGCGCGGACTTCTTTGATCGGAGCTGGACCCCCCCCCCTCTGGCGCGCGGAGCGCGCCATGGGGCGGTGCCGGCGCCTCCGGGGGGATCCAGAGCCGATCCGAGAAGTCCGCGCAGGCCTCGGCACCCACGTCGGCACACCCCGTCAAGAAGGCCCCAGTGGCAAAGTTCGCATGGCGGTTCCGTGCTCATCTGCAGGGGAACAAAAAGTGTCATCAGCATAAAAGCTCGGAGGTCCGCGCGGATTTCTCGGATCGGCGCTGGGGCCCCCCGGCGTCGGAGGCCCCTGGCGCGCTCCGCGCGCCAGGGAGGGGGATCCAGTCCGGCGTACTATGAAAAATGGCATGACCATCAAAATTTGGAGGTCCGCGCGTATTTTTTGGATCCGCGCTGGACCCCCCTCCTTGGCGCGCGGAGCGCTCCACGGGCGGCGCTGGAGGCGCCGCCAGGGAACCCCAGCGCCGATCTGAGAAGTCCGCGCGGACCTCCGAGTTGTTGTGTTTATGTCAGTGTTCGTTCCCCGATCCATAGGATGCAGAGCAAGGTTTCAGGCAGTGGCGAAGCGTCCTGGCTCGCCTATAGGCCCACCAACTAATTGTCAAAGAACCGCTTGTGCTCTACAGGACATGTGCTTCGAACCTTTCTGGCTGAGACCGCCTTGCTTCAGCACCTCGGCTCTACACATTCGAAGAACATTGCCCTGCTCCTGGAGCATTTTTGAGGATCCAAGAGCACGGCACACACGACTAAATATGGTCGGGTCCTTCGCCAGGATAACCTTAATATTTTGCGGATGTTCCCTTTGAAAATTCCAGATTTGAGAACTAACGTCGTAAATCAACACCTCCAGTATCCTCACTTCGTATCTCGTGGCAGGGCTTTGGGAATGCAGGGACGGCCGGCCCCTGCTCAGAGGTCCGTGCTCTTTTCTAGCACTGCTCCCTTGCTGTGAGGGTGCAGAGGCCGAGGGGGTCGGCGTCACCCCAGCATACTTATACACCTTAGGCGATGCTTAAGAAAAATTGAATTTCGGCCAGAGTCTCGATTATTCTTAACGTTTCAATGTAAATCCTAAGTTTGTAATAGAAATGCTGGGTTTTTATTCAAGTTCTGAGACTATGAATTTCTTAACCCATGATTTCTTAAGCATTTCGCAGGGTGTATACTATATGTGCGTCGCCCCCCCCAGGGGCGACGCGCGCAGCGAGAAATCTTCTAGTATATGCGTCGTGGCGGGCGCTTTCTGGCCCGACCGCTCGGGAAGCGATCTACTACAAGATGGGTATACTGCATGTTCGCGTCGGACGCGCGCCTCCAAGGTGGACATACGGTACTAGGATGTCCTGCTGCGTCCCAGAAGGGGACGGCGGGGCCCCGCTTCGGCAAGCCAGTGGGTGGCGGCCTGCCGAGGTCGCGGTGGGATTTCTCTTCCTGCAGCCAGGCGGCCCCGGGCCCCGGCGGGCTTCGTCACCGCCGTCGCCGTCGGAATGGACGCAACTGGAGGGTTTCTCCGCAGGGCTCAGCGACCCCTCCTCCTCCCTCTCCTCCTCCTCTTCCCTCTCCTCCTCCTCCTCCTCCTCCACCTCCTCCTCCTTCCCCTCCTCCTCCTCCCTCCTCCTCCTCCTCCACCTCCTCCTCCTCCTCCTCCTCCTCCTCTCCTCCTCCTCCTCCCCCTCCTCCTCCTCCTCCTCCTCCTCCTCCTCCTCCTCCTCCCAACCCCCTCCTCCTCCTCTTCTCCTCCTCCTCCTCCTCCTCCTCCTCCTCCTCCTCCTCCTGCTCCTCCCCTCTCCTCCTCCGTAGCCATTTTGGCTCAAGCCATTCTGGCTCAAGCTGGCTTCGTCGGGCGCGCGCTTCCCGCCGCGGCTCGGGCAATGGCAACGGTCGTGCCCCTTGGCGGGGAGGCGTTGGCGCTGCTCGCCCCGCTGGTGAGGGCAGCAGCGGCGGGAGCGGCTGAAGTTGGCGGCGGGCGGCAGCATGTCGCCGCCGCGGTCGCATTCGCGTTCCGCACGGGCGCCGAGCTGCTCGCCCCACGTGTCGACCCCGACGTGGGCCAGGAAGTCTCGGTTCGCAAGCGGCTGGGGAGGCCCCGCCTCGCCGAGATGGTGCAGGCGGGCCGCGGAGGCGGCGGCGAGCGGCGAAGAGCGGCGACGGCGGCTGCGACGGGCGGCGGCGGCGACGAGCGGCGACAGCGGCGGCGACGAGCGGCGGCGGCGGCGACGAGCAGCGACGGCGACGGCTCGGGCCGCGCGGCGCCGCCCGCCGCGCCTCCCGCGGCTGGGCCCAGCACGCTGAGTTCGGTGCTGGGCGCCGCGCCTCGCCGGCCACAGCCCAGGAGGCCAGGCGCCGAGTGCGGGGCCGCCGGCGTGGCGCTGGCGACGCGGCGTGGGCCCCCCCCCTCGATGACGAGCTGGAGGCCAGGGGGGTGTTGACCGAGGAGGTCTCGTGGAAGCTGAGGAGCTCGAGAGGTCGAGGTGGCTGAGGTGTTGACTGAGGTGTTGACTGAGGCGTTGAGGTGACTGAGGTGTTCACAGAGGTTGAGGTGTTCACCTTCTCTCGTTTGACTGAGGTGTTGACCGAGGAGGCCTCGTGGAAGCCAGTTGTGAAGCAAGTGTGGGAGCTCAGGAGAAACGGTTTCGTGTGCGCCTCTGTCTGCCAGGACACCCACGAGGTGAAGGCGATGGGTTCGGCCATTCTCGAGCTGGCCCTGGAGAACTCTCGGCTAGACCACGGACGCTTCTGAGAAGCACGCGGCCGAGGTCAGAGTCACGCAGAAGGTCGCGACGGATTCGGACTCGCTTGTGCAGATCGGCCACGAGGACCTTCAGAGGGAGAAGCGGCTGCCGCTGACCGTCATCAGGGGGAGAAGCGGGCTTCGAGTCGTCGCAGCTGTTCGGCAACGGCGAGGCCAGTTCCTAAAGTTGGCCAAGTGTTGATGCTCGGGGAGCTGCCTGAGAAGACGGCCAAGTCTTCAGGGTTGCGGAGGCTCGTGCTCCTCCTGCGGCTCGCTCGGCTTCGGGACGCGGAGGCTCGTGCTCCTCCTCCGCCCCCTTCCCGCTGCGGAGGCTCCTGTTCCTCCTGCGGCGCCTGTGGCCCTGGGGCTGCGGAGGCTCGTGCTCCTCCTGCGGCCCCGAGGGTTTCTTCCGCGCGACTCCCTTGTCGCTTTGCACTCAGCGCATTTAGTCCTCCTCCTCCTCCTCCTCCTCCTCCTCCTCCTCCTCCTCCTCCTCCTCCTCCTCCTCCTCCTCCTCCTCCCCCTCCTCCCCTCCTCCTCCTCCTCTCCTCCTCCCTCCTCCTCCTCCTCCTCCTCCTCCTCCCCCTCCTCCTCCCTCCTCCTCCTCCCTCCTCCCCTCCTCCTCCTCCTCCTCCTCCTCCTCCTCCTCCTCTCCTCCTCCCTCCCTCTCCTCCTCCTCCTCCTCCTCCTCCTCCTCCTCTCTCCTCCTCCTCCTCCCTCCCTCCTCCTCCTCCTCCTCCCTCCTCCTCCTCCTCCTCCTCCTCCTCCTCCTCCTCCTCCTCTCCTCCTCCTCCTCCTCTCCTCCTCCTCCTCCTCCTCCTCCTCCTCCTCCCCACCTCCTCCTCCTCCTCCTCCTCTCCTCCTCCTCCTCCTCCTCCCTCCCACTCCTCCTTCCTCCTCCTCCTCCTCCTCCTCTCCCTCTCCTCCTCCTCCTCCTCCTCCTCCTCCTCCTCCTCCTTCTCCTCCTCCTCCTCCTCCCTCCTCCACCTCCTCCTCCTCCTTCTCGGGTCGCCTACGGCCCCGGGGGAAACCGTGCAGACGCTTAGAAGCAATCGGGCCCTGAGTCGGCGGCGAGCGAGGAGGGACACGTGCAAGAGAAGGCCTTCTCAGAAGGCGGCGGCTGGGCTTCTCAGAAGGCCTCTGGCCATCCGAGAGATTTCTTGCGTCGCCAGGGAAGTCTCAGAGGCCGTCTCAGAAGGCTGGGCGTTTTCTGAAGTTTGTTTGAGAAGGCCCGCCCCTTCTCGCTTCCACCCCTCGCTCGCCTTCCGCTGAGGGGAAGCGGGTCTTGGAAGTTTTGGCCGTTCCCTGCTTCTCGTTTCCCTCCCCGGACCCCAGGGGCCAGAGAACGGTTCGGGACGGAAAGCTGGTCCTGGGGGGCGGCACCCCGGGATGCAGGGCCCGTTTCTTGCAGGGCCCGCTTCTCTCACGCCGAGAGGAGCAGCAGCAGCAGCGGGACACTGGGGAGGGAGGGACAGAGGGACGCAGGGGAGGGAGGAGGCGAGGGACAAATGGGGGGGGAGGAGGGACGCAGGGGGAGCGCGGAGGCGAGGGGAGGGACAAGGGGGGAGTGTGGACGAGGCGAGGGACACGGGGGGGGAGGGACACAGGGGAGCGCGGACGAGGCGAGGGACAAAGGGGGAGCAGCAGCTGGACCCTGACCTCCTCGCGTCGTGAAATCACGACGGGAGGTTTTTCGCCATTTTCGGCCTCCGGGGGCCCTCACCCAGCCTCGGAGCCGTCAACAAAACGTCTCAGGATGAAGAACCGGTCCCGGGGAAAGGGCCCAGACCTCTGGGCCTCGACGTTGTGAACAAAATCGCGACGTCGGAGGTCTGGGGAGGGGGCCGGCTGGCTCGCTGTCCAGTCCAGGGCCGGTGTACATGCCCCGCCCCGCCATGCGGGGCGGGACGCTCGGGGGGGAAGAGGGGCGTTGGCGAGGCGGAGGGAAGAGAGGGAGGAATGCAGGTGGAGGCAAATGGGGGGGAGGGATGGGGGAGGAGGAGGAGGAGGAGGAGGGGGAGGAGGAGGAGGAGGAGGAGGAGGAGGAGGAGGACGTTCTTCCCTCATCTTCTACCCCTCCCATGTCCAGCTCACTCAGTCCCCGTCCTCCCCATTCCGCCATTCCGCCCCCACCCCTCGCATCAGTGGGCATGAAGGGTATGGAGGGGTGGAAACAAGGAGGGAGGGGTGAATCGTGCAATCATGGGCAAGGCGCGTCACCAGCGCGCAAAGTCTTGTCTAGGGAAAGAGGGGCAGGCAAGGTAGAGTGGGAGGCAAAGTGGGATGACAGGAGCAATGATGGAAGCAAGAGGCAGCGAGGTAGGGCTAAGGGAAGGAGGCGGAACTGGGAGAAGAGGGCAGGTATAGGCGGATGGGGGAGGGGCGTGGGAGGGAGATGGAACTATAGAACAGGAGCGGCCAGGAGAGATGAGGGGATGGGAGGGAGGGACAGAAAGAGGAGAGAGGAGGTGATGAGAAGAGGTGGGGAGAGATGAGGAGGGGAGATGATGGTATGGGACCTTGCCCTTGGCTTCTCCTCTTTGCCGCCGCATGTCTCCAGTTGCTTTGGCTTGAAAGCTGGCCGCCCTTCCGACCCGCGGAGCCATAGCTTCCTCGTGAAAAAAGGCTTCAAAGCAGGGTCCTCCTTCGTCGCAAATTCAGATCTGGCCGCCTCCGCAGCACATTCGGTTCAAGAAAAACATACCTTGAATTGAGTTGCTGGATTTCGGGTCGGACGAAATGTCAGCTCTCCCCGAGGCTAGGATCCACTAATGGTGTTTTTCATGCTCTTTTTGGTGTTTTTTTGTTTTTTCTTGTTTCGTTTTTGCGGCGCGCGCTGGACTCGCGCTCCGAACTCATTGCTCATTGCCGTTTTTGTTGGATTCGGGCGCTATGGTTTTGCCCCCTCCTTCTCGAGGGGGGTGGCTGAATCGCGGGCGCGCGTATGCCCATGGTTGCGCCTCTCGCCAGAATGGTTCGTGGCCATGGCGATTGCGCGGGGCGGGGCCCGGTGCATGCCCAACGGCATGCGCGTTGCATGATAGCGGCGGAGTCGTCTTAAACGTGTGGTCATTATTTTGGCGTGGTTTGGAATTGACCCGCCAACGCCTTCCCGACATTGCAAAACACTCACAGGTGGCCATTACTGTCAAACGCTCACAAATTGCCATGCACCGCCCTGAAGGCACTCGGAGGCTTCCTCCCAGTGTCGTGCCCGCGAGGCTCACATAGTGAGTCGGGCGAGTGTGTCTCAGCCATGTCAGTCGCCCTCGGCATCCCTGCGCGCGCTGACAGGGGGTGCTTTCTGCAGACGACAGCCGACGGCCCATCGACCCATCGGCCCAAATTGCGTTGCCGATGAAGGAACTTGCGGGTGCTTCAACATGTATAACAGTTAAGCTGCAAAGCGGACCTTCGCCACAGACGTGCGCAAGATATGCATGGGCCAATGTGCGACCGTGCGAGCATTAACCGGTTTAGAACACGACATTGAGCATCGGCCAGCATATGGAAATATGCATGCATGGGCAGGTAACGGAAACCACGTGCGTGGGCCAGTGAAGAACGAGAGCGATGCACAAGTGCATCCAACATGTGGTAACTATGACTCGACCGTCAAAATACGTGGCCTGCCTCTCTCGAGGGCTGTTTTTGGGACCGGCATTGCCTTGACGGGTTTTCGTGGGGCTTTGTTGGGCTCCCACGGGTCT